GGTTGTGGGTGAAATTCAAACCCCGACGCCTGCTGTATAGTATGAGCTCGCGTGTTCTCTCTCTCTCTCTCTGTCTGTCCCCGTGGTCGCGTGGTTTTGTCTCCGGGTCCTCCGGTTTTTCCCACCGCATTTAGAATCAACGTGCGTTCAGGGTAATTGGCTGCTGTGCATTTCCACGCGATTTCATTCGGCTATCATTTGCGGTGGCCAGGTCGCTTCTGAAACAGAGCGAAACAGCTCAGTGGACCTTACCTGGTAACTTTAAAGTATTTAGTTTATTAATCTGTATTCTCTCCACGAGCCGAAGAAGATTCAAAGCTGCGTCGAACAGCCCAAAGACGCACTGCCCCCAAGGAGCGTCGTGAGTATGGTGGTGAAACGGTAACCGGTAAAGCGGTAACCGGTTTTAGAACCGATTACCGGTTTTTAGCAACCCCTCGTGTGTGGCTGCGAGACAAGAGGCATAAAGTGTCACCAAGTGTCGCCCTCGAGCATCGAAGCGCGAAACTAATGGGGCAGGCAAGGCAGCGTACCACCAAACACAGAACCCTCCACTACATCTCCTCCTGTGGACATTGATTCTTAAGAGCATTCATTAGGACATTTAGCCCCCCCCCCCCATCCTTCCACCCCCTCCCTCCCCTTTTTCTCCTACAGGGATATCAGAGCTTAGGACGCCACCAGAGATGTAGTAGAGTTTATTGAAACATGCGGTTTAAATAGGTTTCCATTTGCGCCGCGATCCGTAATGTGTGTGTACGTTGTGTCGGGCTAGTGTCAACCCCCCTTTCATATCCTCCGTGTTGTGTATCTGAATCGTCTCGTTGATACAAACAAACACTTTGAGAAAGAAAAAAACACAATCGATTTCATTGTTGTTGTTGTTGAAGTTACGCCAACTCGGTTTCGCGCAACGCGGACACGCTCCGCGCGTCATCTCGCAACTCTCGCCTCTCGCCTCCTTGGGAACTCCTCTCGAGAATGTTGAGTGGCCGAGCGAGTGGCCAAGCGAGACCCATCGCGACCTCGGCACGCACACGAGCAGAGAAAGGTCCACACGTTGCAGCCTTCACAGACCCCGGGCTATGAAGGCCGGAACGAGACACTGCGTGGATGGGATGGCCAACATCGCGCCCGGCCGCCCGTCAGCGGGCGCTCGTTCCAGCCGGGTCCAGATAATCGCCACTCGTGTTGGCCATGAGCGGGAGTCGAACTCGCGTGGCCGGGTTCGTAGGCGCAGCGCGCTCACCGCGACACTACCGCTCCCACACGCAGGGACACGCAGGGACACGCAGGCGGGTCCTGCTGGACTGACGACGTCAACCCTACCTCGCCCTCTCATCATCGTCATCGTCATCCATCCCCATCATCATCAACCACACCCATCCTCTGACCATCATCATCATCATCACCATCATCTAACGTCAACTCAACCTCGCCTTCTCATCATTATCATCCTCTCGCCAGCATCACCATCGTCATCATCCATTCTCTCCATCATCGTCATCATCCAATATGAAGCCCATCCCACCCATCCACTGATCATCCATCCTTCCTCTCCAGTGGGCAATACATTGAAGAAAGTCTCGCTACAGGCCTCAATTATTTTCCTTAACTAGGCCAGTCGGCCGAAACGTTGAGATCTCTCCTCCTCCTCTTTCCAGGTGACAGCCAAAAGCCCACTCGCCGTGCGAGTCGTGAACCCGTCACGCGTTGCAGAACCTCCTCGTGCCGTCGGGTTGTTTTACAATCGGGTTTAATTGTCTTTTTATATTAAACCCGATCATCTGAGATTGGGAGAAATGCGGTTTAATTGGTTCTAATTGCAGAACCGCACTTCGCCAACTTCTTCTCAACGATGGGCTTCATCCATTCCAAGCGAAGGAACTCACTGGCGCCCACGATTGTGGAGGAGAAGCTCCTCGTGTTCATCAAGACCAACCTGCCCGCCGCATTCTACGACTACCCCGTGCCCGACGCCCCCCCCCCCCCGAGTACGATAGCAGCACCGACGAGGAAGCAGCCTAAGCCTTGGATCAGAGTTTCGTATTCATTAAACCAGGTTTTAATTCCCCGAAATCGGGTTTAATTGTATTAAAGAAAAACCCGATGCCTGCCGCTGGAAAAAAAAATCGGGGTTTTCCACCCCCACGCCTCGCACGCTCAGAGGCAACCGCGAATCGGGCGGCTGCCGTGCGCTCGAGAGAGACGCGGCGTTCCACAAGGCGTGGAGAGCCACTGAACTCGGAGCACAATGAAACGACGCAGACGCGGCCTTCGATTTGTCATTACTCAGAATCTACAAAGAATTTTCTTATAACAATTTTAGTCCGTCGCCCCCCCCCCCCACACCCCCCACCACATGCCCCGCCCCCCTCCATTTTTTTTTACAGTTTTAGTCCGAACCCCCTCCCCAACCACGTCGCCCCTTACCCCGCACACCTTCAAAAACGATGTTGGTCTATCATAGGGTAGAGTGAGCCTCCAGTTGTACGTCCACATAGGGGCACGTGGTAAGCACTGGACACGTGCATGCGATTGAAACCCCGTCGCCGATTAACCGAGTCGCTCGCCTCTCTCGCCCAGAGAGCCTGGCTCTACGATGGGGATGGGTTTGTTGTATTTGTATGCGCTTGTGTGATTTTGTTTTACCTTTCTTGTACTTTTTGCACGACTATCGCTGTTTTTTTTGTCGTATTGTTTGTTGTTGTAACGTTCTTACCGTGCCCCGACTGGACATGTGTTGAAAAAGAGCTTTATAGCTCATCGGATTCCTCCTGCAGGTCAATAGCCAATCTCATTCTCTCTGTGTCGCTCATCTCACGCCGCACGAGTTCCCTCCCACACGAGGCCCGTTTTAGTTCGTCGGACATCATTGGTGCCCGCGCCATAGGAATGTGGAATTCCCCAGCACCGGCTCTGGATAGGCCGTGTGAGGAGTGGTGGGGGGTGGGGTGAAGGGGGGGACACCACGCACAGTCCACGTCGTGGCGCTCATCTCCGTGGGGGGGGGCGGGGAGCGAACCAGTGGAGCAATTTCCTCATTGCCATGGCGGGGGACCGTATTTTGAAAGGAGAGGAAATGGTTGGGACGAGAGAGCGAGAACGCCAACAGCAGCGATGGCGAATTTATCTACCGTCCTCCATCTCACCCCCCCCCCCCAGTGTCCCCGTCTCCCCCTCTCCTTGCCCCCCCCTAGTGTCCCCCTCTCCCACCCTCCCTGTGCCTCTGTCTCCCTGTCTCTCAGTGTCCCCGTGTCCATCTCTCCCTGTCTCCCTGTCTCTCAGTGTCCCCGTCTCCCTCTCTCCCTGTCTCCTTGTCTCTCAGTGTCCCCGTGTCCCTCTCTCCCTGTCTCCCTGTCTCTCAGTGTCCCCGTCTCCCCCTCTCCCTATCTCCCTGTCTCCCTGTCTCTCAGTGTCCCCATGTCCCTCTCTCCCTGTCTTCCTGTCTCTCAGTGTCCCCGTCTCCCCCTCTCCCTATCTCTCAGTGTCCCCGTGTCCCTCTCTCCCTGTCTATCAGTGTCCCCATCTCCCTCTCTCCCTGTCTCCCTGTTTCTCAGTGTCCCCGTCTCCCCCTCTCCCTGTCTCCCTGTCTCTCAGTGTCCCCGTGTCCCTCTCTCCCTGTCTCTCAGTGTCCCCATCTCCCTCTCTCCCTGTCTCTCAGTGTCCCCGTCTCCCTCTCTCCCTGTCTCTCAAGTGTCCCCGTGTCCCCAGCCTCCTCGTGCCCTGCTCTCCTCCCCCTCTCCTCATCCTCCTCCCATCTCCCCGTTGTCTCCGTCCCTACGCCGGGGCGATGTTCCGCAAAGTGGTACTCGCTTTATCGCCCCTGGCAGAGAGAGCAGATCCACACAACCCGGGCCCAGTTCCGTGTGTTCCCCGAGACCCCAACCCCAGAACCCTTGCACGAGACACGAGACCCCAGAACCCTTGCACGAGACACGAGACCCCAGAACCCTTGCACGAGACACGAGACCCCAGAACCCTTGCACGAGACACGAGACCCCTGTTTCTTAGAGGACCCCGAATAGGTCTGCCTCGTCTCGTTAGAGGCAACCCCTGGAGCGTGGTCGTGTTTAAAGGGGGGGGGTGGATGCGGGGGAGGGGACATCTTTTTACATAAATACAACTCACGACTGGGTTGGTGGGGGGCGGCACGACACGTTCGATGTTGAACTTTACACGAAACGTTCCACCAGAAACGCAACGAGCAGCGATGCGATCTCTGCCCGCGTCTGTCGCGCATTCCTCTACAGATTTCACACCCCCCCCCCCCCCCGTGTTAATTTATATCAATAACATCTCCGACTTGGCTGTACAAAATTAAAAGTGGGGCCAAACCTCGCAGCAGTGGGTGGGGGGCGGTAAGGGGTAGAGACCATCATCGAGACTCCCGCTCTGTCCACGTGCCCTCCAGCCGCCCCCCCCGCACCGCGCACCCATAGCGAGCCATGCCCCCCACTTCCGTGCCCCCCAACCCAACTCCACAACCTATAGCCCCCCCCCCTCTCCCAACACGATCCATGCCGCCCAACTCCGCTGCCCTCTCCCCTCTCCTACTACGACCACCACCACCCAGCCAGCCAGCCCCACGCGCTGCTACTGCTGCTGCTATTACTGCTGTTGCTGCTACTACTGCTATTACTGCTACTGCTGCTGCTGTTGCTGCTACTGCTGCTACTGCTGCTGCTGCTACTGCTGTTGCTGCTGCTACTGCTGCTGCTGCTACTGCTGCTGTTGCTGCTACTGCTGCTACTGCTGCTGCTACTGCTGCTACTGCTGCTGCTACTGCTGCTGGTACTGCTGTTGCTGCTACTACTGCTGCTGCTACTGCTGCTGCTACTGCTGCTACTGCTGCTGCTACTGCTGCTGGTACTGCTGTTGCTGCTACTACTGCTACTGCTGCTGCTACTGCTGCTGCTGCTACTGCTGCTGTTGCTGCTGCTGCTGCTACTGTTGCTGCTGCTACTGCTGCTGCTACTACTACTGCTGCTGCCACTCACCGGTACCACTCGAGTCCCCGGTCGTAGTTGCGATCGAAGAAGTGCGGCTCGGCGCCCACGGCGCGGACGTCGGGGTGCACGCGGATGAACTCGAGCAGGGCGCGCGTGCCCCCCTTCTTCACGCCGATGATGATGGCGTCAGGGAGCTTCTTCGTCCCGAAGCTACTGAAGCTGCTGCCGCTGCCGCTGCTGCTGCCGTTGATGAGGCTGGGTGCCGGAGCCGGTGCAGGGCGCGTAGCGGCGCCCATCGCTTCCACCTCCTCTTTGTTGATGTTGTTGCTGGCGATGTTCCTCTTCCTATTCTTCCTGTCCTCCATCTCTTCGTCCAATAACACCTCTTCAGCAACAACACCGCCACCGCCACCTCCTCCTCCATCACCACCGCCACCATCATCATCGTCATTGCCCGCCGAGCCTGCGGATTCCCGCACGCCCCACCTCGTGTTAGGGTCTTCAATGAGCTGCCGATGCCGCTGCTGCTGCTGATTCTGCTGATGCTGCAACAGCAGCAGCTGAGATGCATCCCCCGTCGTCTGCTGCTGCTGCTGCTGATCTCGGCGTTCGTGTCGGCGCAGCTGAGTGCGATCGTAGCGCTCCTCCCCGGTGTCTCCCCCCTCCGGGAGCGCTCCTCCGGGCTGCAGGGGGGGCGGCGGCGGGGGGCAGCAGCAGCAGCAGGCGAGGCAGTAGAACAGGTAGGCGGGCAGCAGCAGGAGCAGCATGCTGGAGGCGCAGGCGAGCAGCGTCCGGCGAATCTTGACGTGCGGCAGAGCGGCGCTAGGAGCCTCCATGCTGCCCTGTGGGGGCGCCGGGGACCAGCTGGTGGCGAGGGTGGCCCCGGGCAGCCGAGGGGCAGCGGGGCATGGCGCTGCCCCTGCCGGCGAGAGGCACCGGCCGCATGCGGCCGAGCGCGGGCAGTCACGGGGTGTGATCGCGATACGATGTTGCTGCACGGTCGTGGTGTTGGTGGTGTTGGTTGTGGTGGTGGTGTTGGTGGTGGTGGTGTTGGTGGTGGTGGTGTTGGTGGTGTCGTACTGCGCGCGTGCGTGTGGTGCTGGTAGTAGTAGTGTGAGTCGTGGTACGCGGAGCGTGCTATCGTAGTTGTGCAAGTGCGGTGGTGGTGGTGGCGGTGGTGGTCTCGATTGGTGATTGCTACCGCGTGATAACAACGATGATGATGATGACGACGACGACGATATTATTTTATTTCTTTATAACGTGGCGTTTGTCGTGAGTCGTACGTGACGGACGCGGCATCGCAGCGCGGCGAGAGACGCGATGAGCGTGGGGAGGAGGAGGAGGAGGTGGAGCACGAGAAAGAGGCCTTCATCCAGCAGTGGACAGACCCTGGCTCACAATGACGACGACGACGCCACGCGCGCGCCCCTCTCGCAGGAGAACCAGCCCCGCCGACTCACCACCACCACCCGCGCTCCGCTCTGCACGGAACTCCAGTGGGGGAGTGGAGGGGGGGGGGGTGCCGCTCTTAAGTAGAGGACACCGAGGCGTAGGAGGAGGCGGGAGATGTTAGAGGAGGGAGATGTGGTAGCAGAAGCAGCAGCAGCAGGAGGAGGAGCGCAGCACCGAACAGCGACCGCATCCATCAACGCCCCGGCCCCAGCAGCCAGCAGCGTCGTCTTTGCCGGCATCGCCACCCGCCACCCTCCCCACCCTCTCTCGCCCGCGCCGCTCCTCGCTGATGACGGCGGGGGTCTTGGGGTCCGCGTGGGGAGTGGGGGGGGGTCCCTGTGTCGTGTCCCAGACCCCCGTGCCTACGAGGGGGGGGGGGTCCCTCCCTCGCTCCCTCGCTCCCTCCCTCCCTCGCTCCTGTCACTCGACGCCCTGGTACGGGGGAAGTTGGGTGGAGGGGTTGGGGGTGGAGGAGGAGGAGGGGGTTAGGGGTGGGGTGGAGGAGGAGGGGGATAAAGGGGTGGAGGAGGAGGGGGTTAGGGGGGTGGAGGAGGAGGGGGTTAGGGGGGGAGGGGAGGCGGGAGGATTCGATCTCGTCTAGATTCCGGATCAGGATCTGCTCGTTGTGTATGCGAGAGATGCGATGCATGCGAGAAGCTGCAACGGGGGCAACACCTGCAGCAGCAGCTGCAGCTACAGCAGCACCTGCAGCACCATCACCAGCACCGCCACCAGCAGCAGCATCCGCAGCAGTAGCGGCAACAGGGGCAGCACCTGCAGCTACAGCAGCAGCTGCAGCTACAACAGCAGCTGCAGCTACAACAGCAGCTGCAGCAGCACCGCCAACAGCAGCAGCAGTAGCGGCGGCAGCAACAGGGAGCCGAGATCGGAGACGGCGGCTGCTCGAGCCGAGAGCGCGTTGAGCGATAACGGAGAGCGACGTGCGGAGTGAGAGAGTGGAGAGCGTGCGGAGTGAGAGAGTGTGCGGAGTGAGAGAGTGGAGAGTGTGCGGAGTGAGAGAGTGGAGAGCGTGCGGAGTGAGAGAGTGGAGAGTATGCGGAGTGAGAGAGTGGAGAGTGTGCGGAGTGAGAGAGTGGAGAGCGTGCGGAGTGAGAGAGTGGAGAGCGTGCGGAGTGAGAGAGTGGAGAGTGTGCGGAGTGAGATAGTGGAGAGTGTGCGGAGTGAGAGAGTGGAGAGGTGTGCGGAGTGAGAGAGTGGAGAGCGTGCGGAGTGAGAGAGTGGAGAGTATGCGGAGTGAGAGAGTGGAGAGTGTGCGGAGTGAGAGAGTGGAGAGCGTGCGGAGTGAGAGAGTGTGCGGAGTGAGAGAGTGGAGAGTGTGCGGAGTGAGAGAGTGGAGAGTGTGCGGAGTGAGAGAGTGGAGAGCGTGCGGAGTGAGAGAGTGTGCGGAGTGAGAGAGTGGAGAGTGTGCGGAGTGAGAGAGTGGAGAGCGTGCGGAGTGAGAGAGTGGAGAGCGTGCGGAGTGAGAGAGTGTGCGGAGTGAGAGAGTGGAGAGTCTGCGGAGTGAGATAGTGGAGAGTCTGCGGAGTGAGAAGTGGAGAGTCTGCGGAGTGAGAGAGTGGAGAGTCTGCGGAGTGAGAGAGTGGAGAGTGTGCGGAGTGAGAGAGTGGAGAGCGTGTGGAGTGAGAGAGTGGAGAGTCTGCGGAGTGAGAGAGTGGAGAGTCTGCGGAGTGAGAGAGTGGAGAGTCTGCGGAGTGAGAGAGTGGAGAGTCTGCGGAGTGAGAGAGTGGAGAGTCTGCGGAGTGAGAGAGTGGAGAGTCTGCGGAGTGAGAGAGTGGAGAGTGTGCGGAGTGAGAGAGTGGAGAGTCTGCGGAGTGAGAGAGTGGAGAGTCTGCGGAGTGAGAGAGTGGAGAGCGTGCGGAGTGAGAGAGTGGAGAGGTGTGCGGAGTGAGAGAGTGGAGAGCGTGCGGAGTGAGAGAGTGGAGAGTGTGCGGAGTGAGAGAGTGGAGAGTGTGCGGAGTGAGAGAGTGGAGAGTGTGCGGAGTGAGAGAGTGGAGAGTGTGCGGAGTGAGAGAGTGGAGAGTGTGCGGAGTGAGAGAGTGGAGAGTCTGCGGAGTGAGAGAGTGGAGAGTGTGCGGAGTGAGAGAGTGGAGAGTCTGCGGAGTGAGAGAGTGGAGAGTGTGCGGAGTGAGAGAGTGGAGAGTGTGCGGAGTGAGAGAGTGGAGAGCGTGCGGAGTGAGAGAGTACAGAGTGTGCGGAGTGAGAGAGTGGAGAGTCTGCGGAGTGAGAGAGTGGAGAGTCTGCGGAGTGAGAGAGTGGAGAGTCTGCGGAGTGAGAGAGTGGAGAGTCTGCGGAGTGAGAGAGTGGAGAGTGCTGCGGAGTGAGAGAGTGGAGAGTGTGCGGAGTGAGAGAGTGGAGAGTCTGCGGAGTGAGAGAGTGGAGAGTCTGCGGAGTGAGAGAGTGGAGAGTGTGCGGAGTGAGAGAGTGGAGAGTCTGCGGAGTGAGAGAGTGGAGAGTCTGCGGAGTGAGAGAGTGGAGAGTCTGCGGAGTGAGAGAGTGGATGGTCTGCGGAGTCAGAGAGTGGAGAGTCTGCGGAGTGAGAGAGTGGAGAGTCTGCGGAGTGAGAGAGTGGAGAGTCTGCGGAGTGAGAGAGTGGAGAGTGTGCGGATAGTGAGAGAGTGGAGAGTCTGCGGAGTGAGAGAGTGGAGAGTCTGCGGAGTGAGAGAGTGGAGAGTCTGCGGAGTGAGAGAGTGGAGAGTGTGCGGAGTGAGAGAGTGGAGAGCGTGCGGAGTGAGAGAGTGGAGAGTCTGCGGAGTGAGAGAGTGGAGAGTCTGCGGAGTGAGAGAGTGGAGAGTCTGCGGAGTGAGAGAGTGGACAGTCTGCGGAGTGAGAGAGTGGAGAGTCTGCGGAGTGAGAGAGTGGAGAGTCTGCGGAGTGAGAGAGTGGAGAGCGTGCGGAGTGAGAGAGTGGAGAGTCTGCGGAGTGAGAGAGTGGAGAGTCTGCGGAGTGAGAGAGTGGAGAGTCTGCGGAGTGAGAGAGTGGAGAGTCTGCGGAGTGAGAGAGTGGAGAGTCTGCGGAGTGAGAGAGTGGAGATGCGTGGAGTGGAGAGTCTGCGGAGTGAGAGAGTGGAGAGTCTGCGGAGTGAGAGAGTGGAGAGTGTGCGGAGTGAGAGAGTGGAGAGTCTGCGGAGTGAGAGAGTGGAGAGTCTGCGGAGTGAGAGAGTGGAGAGTGTGCGGAGTGAGAGAGTGGAGAGTGTGCGGAGTGAGAGAGTGGAGAGTGTGCGGAAGTGAGAGAGTGGAGAGTCTGCGGAGTGAGAGAGTGGAGAGTGTGCGGAGTGAGATAGTGGAGAGCGTGCGGAGTGAGAGAGTGGAGAGCGTGCGGAGTGAGAGAGTGGAGAGTGTGCGGAGTGAGAGAGTGGAGAGCGTGCGGAGTGAGAGAGTGGAGAGTGTGCGGAGTGAGAGAGTGGAGAGTGTGCGGAGTGAGAGAGTGGAGCGTGTGCGGAGTGAGAGAGTGGAGAGTGTGCGGAGTGAGAGAGTGGAGAGTGTGCGGAGTGAGAGAGTGGAGAGTCTGCGGAGTGAGAGAGTGGAGAGTGTGCGGAGTGAGAGAGTGGAGAGTCTGCGGAGTGAGAGAGTGGAGAGTGTGCGGAGTGAGAGAGTGGAGAGTGTGCGGAGTGAGAGAGGTGAGAGTGTGCGGAGTGAGAGAGTGGAGAGCGTGCGGAGTGAGAGAGTACAGAGTGTGCGGAGTGAGAGAGTGGAGAGTCTGCGGAGTGAGAGAGTGGAGAGTCTGCGGAGTGAGAGAGTGGAGAGTCTGCGGAGTGAGAGAGTGGAGAGTCTGCGGAGTGAGAGAGTGGAGAGTGTGCGGAGTGAGAGAGTGGAGAGTCTGCGGAGTGAGAGAGTGGAGAGTCTGCGGAGTGAGAGAGTGGAGAGTGTGCGGAGTGAGAGAGTGGAGAGCGTGCGGAGTGAGAGAGTGGAGAGTCTGCGGAGTGAGAGAGTGGAGAGTCTGCGGAGTGAGAGAGTGGAGAGTCTGCGGAGTCAGAGAGTGGAGAGTCTGCGGAGTGAGAGAGTGGAGAGTCTGCGGAGTGAGAGAGTGGAGAGTCTGCGGAGTGAGAGAGTGGAGAGTGTGCGGAGTGAGAGAGTGGAGAGTCTGCGGAGTGAGAGAGTGGAGAGTCTGCGGAGTGAGAGAGTGGAGAGTCTGCGGAGTGAGAGAGTGGAGAGTGTGCGGAGTGAGAGAGTGGAGAGCGTGCGGAGTGAGAGAGTGGAGAGTCTGCGGAGTGAGAGAGTGGAGAGTCTGCGGAGTGAGAGAGTGGAGGGAGTCTGCGGAGTGAGAGAGTGGACAGTCTGCGGAGTGAGAGAGTGGAGAGTCTGCGGGAGTGAGAGAGTGGAGAGTCTGCGGAGTGAGAGAGTGGAGAGTCGTGCGGAGTGAGAGAGTGGAGAGTCTGCGGAGTGAGAGAGTGGAGAGTGCTGCGGAGTGAGAGAGTGGAGAGTCTGCGGAGTGAGAGAGTGGAGAGCGGTGCGGAGTGAGAGAGTGGAGAGTCGTGCGGAGTGAGAGAGTGGAGAGTCGTGCGGAGTGAGAGAGTGGGAGAGTGTGCGGAGTGAGAGAGTGGAGAGTCGTGCGGAGTGAGAGAGTGGAGAGCGTGGCGGAGTGAGAGAGTGGAGAGCGTGCGGAGTGAGAGAGTGGAGAGTGTGCGGAGTGGAGAGAGTGGAGAGCGTGCGGAGTGAGAGAGTGGAGAGTGTGCGGAGTGAGAGAGTGGAGAGCGTGCGGAGTGAGAGAGTGGAGAGTGTGCGTGAGTGAGAGAGTGGAGAGCGTGCGGAGTGAGAGTAAGAGTGGCGGAGTGAGAGAGTGGAGAGTGTGCGGAGTGAGAGAGTGGAGATGTGCGGAGTGAGAGAGTGGGAGAGTGTGCGGAGTGAGAGAGTGGAGAGCGTGCGGAGTGAGAGAGTGGAGAGTGTGCGGAGTGAGAGAGTGGAGAGTGTGCGGAGTGAAGAGTGGAGAGTGTGCGGAGTGAGAGAGTGGAGAGTGTGCGGAGTGGAGAGTGAGAGGTGTGCGGAGGGTGAGAGGTGGAGAGTTGCGGAGTGAGAGAGTGGAGAGCGTGCGGAGTGAGAGAGTGGAGAGTGTGCGGAGTGAGAGAGGGGAGAGTGTGCGGAGTGAGAGAGTGGAGAGTGATGCCGGGGTGAGACGAGTGGAGTAGTGTGCGGAGTGAGAGAGTGGAGAGTGTGCGGAGTGAGAGAGTGGAGAGT